TATTTACACATGTATGAACATACTCTAACCCTCACCCAAATTCTCATGAATCAGTCCAATTGACACTTTGGTGTATTATCCCAGGTAGTCAAGGTAGATGGTAAAGAAATGGAATTTTTTAAAATACATTTCCCTTTCAGGAAAAGGTGAAGGGGGAGAGTGGTCACTTGGCCAGATCTGTTTAGGGACTGGAATGACCACTGCTGATACAAGGGCAAGGAGGGTACACATTAGTTCAATTTGCTGAAGAGCTATGGGTGGTAGATACAAACGGAGAGCACTTCTGTGTGGCAAATATGAGGCCCATATATACATGAAGGGCATGCAAGCACCACCCATCCACATGCAAATGAATTCTGAAGGTTTTCCATGCTGATTCTAAAGCAACAGTGTGTCACCAGAGGCAGAACATTTATTGGTCCTTCCATTAAGGAAGGCTTTTGAGTAAGAAGAAGATGATAAAATGTATCAGAACAGAACCCACAGAGCAATGTTCTGTAAAGTCAGATCCACCTTCTACCAGTTCAGGGAGCAACCCTGGCCCCATCCTAACCAGAATCTCACATGAGACAGATGATCTCACCTCACAGCATCAGAGATAGACCTGTTACCAATAACATCTTTAAAACTGTCAGATCATTCCGAAGGTCTCTCTGGAAGGCGTACTAAAGTGTAAATGCATAACCTTAAATAAAGATGGTAGGAAGCAGTTTATCTTTCAGAAGGCAGATGCCAAAGTAGCAGAGCGGCTTAAAAAGATGATTATAAAATATAGTTTGTATCAGGAGAGCATAACAATAACAGTAGGAATAGCAAAGAATAGGAAATGCACAAAATACAATAGACACTTACCAAACACTGAATGCATGATAAACTGGAAATAGAAACAAGGACACATAAAGCCAACCAGAAACTCATCGAGTGGCTTCACATTAAGAAAGACAAAAGCAAACAAGAGATAACCCCCAACCTTGTTCTTTAAAAAGCTGTAAGCAATGGGCAGTGCTTTCTCAATGTTCCTCATGTGGCACATAGCCTGGAGTGCTTACAGGCATGACTGCCTGCTGGGTTTCTAGTCTTTGTAGAAGCACCAGACACTAAATTGGGTCTAGAGTTGGCATGCAATAAACACATGCTACAAAATGTTCACTGCTGTTCACCAAAAAGTTTTGTAAAAAAGTAACAATATCCAAAATCACAGGCTGCAAAGAGGGGGATTTTGAGGCACAGTTTCCCCCCTGGCCTGCTAATGATGGAGGCCAGACCCAGGCATAAAACTGGGTCTTCACCCGGGCCAGTGGAGAATAGACTATAGCCTCCATATACAATTCATCACATGGACAGAACTAATCAGGAATTCCTTCTAAAGATGAAACCACATGATTTTAATTTTGTTTTGAATTAAAGTAGAAAAGAACATTCAGATGGACAAAGCCAACTATTCATCTTTAGGAACATATTTGCTAATACCTGTTAAAACTTCCATTTTATTCAATTTTGCTTCTCAACTCATGTTTTTGAACATTTTTTAAAAACATTCCCTTTACCCATTCATGTTCCAATTTAGGAGGGCCTATCATTCTTCTGTATGGATTTAACAGAAAAGAAATTATAAAATAAAAAGTTACTTTCAACTAGTTTTGTCGGGGTCAAAAGTTCTGTCACTGTGACCAAAGGTAGAAACAGTTGCACCTGCCTGATGCTGTAATGCCCCAATGGGTAGCTGATGGCTCTCAAGCCACCTGGGATAATTGGCTTTCTCTTTGTACTTCAGCTGCATCTTTCTTCTTCTCAAACAGTAAACCCAAGGAGTCATTCCTGTCCCTCCATAAATCAGCCTTAGAAACTCTGAATGTCACACTGATGCTAATCATGTCCTAACAGTTATGTTCTATGCTCCTGCCCTTTTCCCAGAGTTCTTCTGCTTAGTCCAGATTGCCAAGTACTAAAACATGTCTGTAATTGCTGAAGTAACAGCTGGATACAACTGAGTAAACTTCTTCAGCTAAGGCTGTCTTGAGCCCCAGTGATGTGGCTCAACCTCAGAGTCAGAGTCAGAGTCAGACTAGAATAGACTCTTTCTTCACTAAACCAATTCCAGGCCTGAATCAAATGACAAGGCTCATAGAAAGAAAAGAGCCCTCTCATCTTTGACTAAATTGAAGGGAATTTGTGTTTTCTGCTAAATTCTCACAGGGTCAGAGGTGGGATTACAAGGTTGATTCATATACCTGAAGAAAGATCCCACATTAGCAAATCAAAACAGACTTCAAACCCTAAGACCAAGTTTCTTCCTTAATCATAGCTATAATGACACTGACAGACCAAAGTACCCTAAAGGTTTTAAGAACAAAGCTTGATGAAAACAAAAGGGGGAGGGTGGACTTCAATAACTTGAAAAAATTACAGAAGTGTTTAGGAAGAACTAGAATGACCTCCCACAGATTTAGTTTCTGATCTTTGTTTTAAGGGGAAGGGGTGTGTTTTTTTCTATTGATTTTGGGTGGGATAAAATGTAGCTTTTGAGATCAGTACAATAAACTATTTATCTGGCCTGACAAGGCCAATCAGCGTCCACCATACACACTAATTATTATAAGGAGGAGCAAAATAGTGTTAGTCTTAATGGCATGGGGGAGGACCAAACAGCCCTCATCCTGATACACAATGCTTCCCTTCAGCTGGGAATTGATGTTTGGCCCAGGTGACCTGTAGGTCAGTGTGAAGCCTGGAACAGAATGGAGATGGGCTGATATGGGCTTCACAGTTACAGGATGTCTTTGCCTGTGGTTCAAGTTGCATAGTTCCTAGTATTTAGCATATAAAAAACCCAACTATAAAAGCCTGGTCTTAATCCGGCTGTAGGTCTAAGGTAGGAGGCTAAAAACAGTCAAGTAAAGTACCCCTTGGAACTCATTTTTCTGGTGAACTAGAAATTCCATTTGGGGAACTTAAAGGCCAGAGTTTCAGGCCGGGCTATGGTAGCGCATACCTTTTATCCCAGCACTCGGGAAACAGAGGCAGCCTGATCTACAAGAGCTAGTTCCAGGACAGCCTCCAAAGCCACAGAGAAACCCTGCCTAGAAAAACTCCACCACCACCCCCCAAAAAAAGAAGAGAAAAAGGCCAGAGTTTCAGTTCTAAAGAAACAATAATCTTAAAAGTTGTATTCTTTAGTTGACTTAAAGTTCTCAGGTAATTTCACTGAACCCATGCACATAATTACCTTCATTCTTTGCCTTAATTAATTCCTTCTCTTCTGAAATTAATTAAGTCTCTTACTGAGTTTATAAAATAGCAGGGCTGACCAGAAAGACCTTACTACTGGTCACTGTGTATGGAATGGCTGGACCCACTGACTTGAGAAGAACCATAGGAAGGGGACAGCTTCCAGGAGCCAGAAAGAAGACTCACTGGACTCCATCCCTTAAATTCAAAATTATAGTCTCCTCTGGACTTGGGGAATCTACATGCAAGAATGGAGAGCTGAGCATGTCAGCCCAGGCCAGACATGGTGTTATGCCAGCACTGGGGAGGTTGAGGCAAGAGGATTAAATGAGTTCCAAGGGGTGCTTTACTTGACTGTTTTTAGCCTTCTTCTACCTTAGGCCTAACAGCCAGATTAAGACCAGGATTTTGTACTTGGGGTTTTTATATGCTAAATACCAGGAACTAAGAGACTTGAACAACAGGAAAATGTTCAAGACTAGCCTGGGCCTGGATAGTCTGAGCTATGTGGGACTCTGTCTCAAAACACAAGTTTTTTTTTTAAGAATTAAGAAAGTACTTTGCAAAGATAATAGTTTTACAGTAACATAAGCTAAATTGTTAAAAATGGGAAATCCCAAATTTTAATACAATAAGATTTAAAAGAAGATGGGAAAGAAAGAAAATCCTATAGCTGTTAACGAACTTGGGCCTGTAGCCAATATTTCATGTGAATAATTCAAAATAGGAAATGGAACCTAGAGCAGCTGGAAGGGGCAATGGAAGAGAAGAGAGACGCAAAGCAAATGTCACCAGAACTAGGATCAATGGGCAGTTTATTGTACAAATTCTCATGCTGTCTAAATTTTATGAAAGATTAGCTGTTCTTGCCTGTGGTTATGTAAACTTGCTTCTTTTTTTTCCCCTTGTTAATGGAACCCTTTGCTAATACATTTCTTCCTGCTGGTTTTGAAAAGCTCTCAATTCCCTTTTAAGGACATAGTAAGCCCAGGAAAAGAGGGCAGCTGAAGTCTGACCTTGCAAGGGCATGCTCAGCTCACTGTGGGCCCTGACTGACCCAAGGTCAGGGAATCCTAACAGTACCGAGTGTGCCCATAGTCCAGAACTCAGTAGGGTTCACTCCGGAATCTTACATTCCCTCTCACATCATTCAAAAACAGCTATGACCAGGGTAGATGGTGAACAAAGCAGTTTTAATAAGCTTATGCCTAAAGTGATTTAAGGTCAAAAAGAAGGAAAACAAGACTGTGATTGTTAAAGGCTCCACCTTTGAACAATCTTCCTTATAAACAAAGGGAGTTAGGATCTGTGCTGGGGATCTGGGCAGTTAGAGAGAGAGATGCTAACAGAGTTGACTTTAATTCAAAGGAGAGTATGGGCAGACATTCTCAGATCAGCCTTGCCTTGTTGCTCTCTAAACTCATCTTTCACCCACACAAATAGGTATGAAGGTTGAAGCTAAACCCCTTAATAAATCACTTACAAGTTTGCTCAAATTTCCTCTGAAAAAAATTAGTTCTTTTTACTACAGAGTTACTAAGTGTGTGCGTGTGCATGCGTGTGTGTGTGTGTGTGTGTGTGTGTGTGTGTGTGTGTGTGTGTGTGTAGGTATGTAGGTATGTAGGTATGTGTGTGTATGTATGTACAAAATTTATACTAAAAACCAGAAAGACAAAAACTCTAACTTTTCAGCAATGCTCAGTTTGACATCATGCATACAAAGGTTTCCAGATGTGCCCATGTGCAGGGAGAAAGGTTCCCCTTTGCCATACCTCGCTTATTGGTTCTTAAAATGGTTTCAGAAGACAGCAAAGCATTTCCAGCAGCTACATCGTGCATGGGCTTCTCCGGAGCTTTGTTGGACAGGGGGTCTTTCTTCATATCTTTCTTTATTTCCTGTGAGGACAGAGAAAGGGAAGGAAGTGTTTATAGTCTGAAGTTTTGGGGTGCCTCTTCATCCCTCTGGAAATGAACCATAATAATGCCACATAAGCACAGCACAATATTTGGCAGACACCGTTGTCTGAATTTTCATAATTTCCTTCTTATATTTTTTAAAGAAATACCTAGTCCTATAGAGTGGAATAATGCCCAGTATAGTAAAGGTTACCTTATATGACTGGGGCCATTCCACATGAACATCAAGAGAATGACTGAAATGTAAGCACCAGCATATAACTCTCAATTATGGCTTCTTTTACTTTTTTCAACTATGCCCCAGCCAAGCACATGCCCCACTTCAAAAGCTTTGATTTCTATTCTTCTCAACAAAGGTTTAGCAAAACTACATCTGCAAATCACCACTATGCTCATAATTATACCAAACTCAAAAGATGATTTAAATGCATTTGTAGTTCTCAAGTTCCTCCAGCTTTTTAATTCTTGACCAAAAAATGGATAAGAGCTAAATGACAGACAAAAATAATGACTATCATTTTAGGCCAGCAAGCTCCAGCCCATCATACTAGTTTGTAAATAAAATTTCATTAGCACACAAATGCATTCATGTGTATTTTCTATGTCAAGTTTGATGCCCAAATTCCAGAGTTGAAGAGATGTTACAGAAATGAAGCCTGAAATGTCCAACCTTTTATAGTGCTTGCTGGCCTTCATCTAAGTGGACTTCTACCAAAACTCATTTAATATCTGGCTCTCGGGAGCAGCAAGATGGCACAGTAAGTGGATGAAGGAACTTACTAAATGACCTGAATTCAATTCCTGGGACCCACATGGTTAAAGGAGAGAACCAATTCTAGAAAGTTTTCTTCTGACCTCCTTATAACCAATCAATTAATCAACTGATACAATTTTAAAGATCTGGATCTTGGGATTAAGGCAATGGCTCAATGAGTAAGATTGCAAACATGAAAACCTGAGCTAGACTCCCCAGCACCCATGTAAAAAGCCTGTTGTTATTGCATGTGTACTGGTAACTCCAGAAATGTCAGGGGTTGGGGAAGATATAGGACAACTTCTGGGGCTTGCTGGCCACCAGCCTAGCACCAAGTTCAATAGGAGACCCTATATCGGTGGTTCTCAACCTTCCTAATGCTGCAACCATTTAATACAGTTCTTCATGTTGTGGTGACCCCAAGCATAAAATTATATCATTGCTACTTCATGACTGTAATTTTGCTACTGCTATCTATCATAATGTAAATACTGATATGCAGGACATCTTATAAGCAGGGTATCTGATATGTGACCTACCAAAAGGGTTTGGACCTACAGGTTGAGAACCACCCTGTATCAAAGGACTAAGACAGAATGACAGAGCAAGACACAAGCATCCTCTTCTGGCCTCCACATTTCACATGTGAACACACATACACACATACATGCACAATACACACACACACACACACACACACAGAGAGAGAGAGAGAGAGAGAGAGAGAGAGAACGCTGAATCTTTTACAGTCAATGCATGACTTAGTCACAGGCTGAATGTTGCTAACATAAAACATGACATGAACTGGTCCAAATGCAAAACTTTTTGATCACAGACATGATCCCACAAGTGGAAATTTCCACACCTGACCCCATGTGATAGATTACAACTAAAACAGAGGTACACTGAAAATGGTGCATAAAATTACTTTCAGTCTATGTGCATACATGAAACAAATTAATTTTGTGCTTAGATTTGGAATTTAACTGTAAGATACCTCATCAGGTAAATGCAAAGACCTCCCCTCCAATCCTAAAACTGAAATGGTTCTAGTCCCAAGCACTTTGGATAAGGAATAGTCAACACACACTTTTTTATTGCTTTGATAACTTACATAATCCTTTACAAAATCATTAATGGCCCAAAATGATACTTACTCACACAAATACAGGTCTTATACACAGGAATTCTTCCAAACCAAACAAGTCATTTCTATGCTTGTCTGAGCCCATGATCACACTGACTTATGTACAAACCAAAGCTTAGGGAGCCAGGCCTGAAGCCTCAATGGCAGGAGGACTCATGGATAAGACATGTGTGGTTTAAAAACAGCAGGGTAAGAAATAGAGGTTGATCCCCTCTACCCCTCTGAGTCATTAGGCTGAGGTGGAAAGAAAATAACAAATGCTTGTCAAAACATTGTCTCCACCCCTAAACCAGTCGATAGCTTTCTTCACAACAGCCTCACCCTCTATTGCTCCTTAACCAGGGCCTCACCGGAAACCAACAACTGGGCTGGAGCCTTGCTGAGCTGAGAGTTTCAGCTGACATAACTGAGACCCACACAGCAGCAGTACCTCTGCATATCACACAAAGTTTCTCATATGTGCCTGTGTGCATATGTGTGTGTGCATATGTTTGTGTGTCCAGGGCCTCCCACCTCAGCAGCCCTGGCACCTGCTACAACAGCAGTTGCTGGGGCTTCCTGTAGCCTCACAGGCAGATGGTATCAGGGGACAATCTGCAAACACTGTCTGCCTGAGCCACATGATGGCTGCCAGCCGGCTATGGCTCTTGAAGACAAGAGAAGAAACCACCAAATGTACTTGTTTCTCTAACGGTTGCTAACAACAGCTATCCACCTTTGCCAGGGAGTAATCCCAAGACATTGAGTGGACCATGGTGGATGATGCCATTCACCATCAATGGCACATATCTGGGAGAATGTAAAGAGGAGAACAAAGGTTGAAATGCTAAAATGCTCAGTAGAAATCTCAGAAGCTATGGTTCTCAACAGTACACAGGTCCTGGTCCTGTAGGGCAGCATGACTTGAGCAGGCTGGCTGTAAAGGACCAACCTACCAGAAGCAAGCAGAACAGAAAGATATCACTAGAAGCTTGCCTAGACACACGACATTTCTTTGTCATCCCCCACCTCCACGACTGTTCATATTTGACTAAAGTTCTTAAGTTGTTTCTTGGTTATAAGAAACTCAATTTTTTCTAGAAAAAAGGCAACAGGGTACATGACAAGGCACTGAACTCTTCTGCAAGCTCCTCACCTGAACAATGCCTTGCCTCAGTGTACCCTGTGGACGGCCAATGCCTTCCTCTAACCACTCCCTTTCACAAGGGAAGAGGTCTATCCTATCTGGCACCCCATTATCTGTTGACTTACCCAGGCTGGAAAAGTCACATTTGTCCCCTATCTAACCAGTCTCCCAGTCTGGCTTGACCACTTCCTCTCTCTGTTTCTCTCTATTCTTCCTCTATTGTCTTGAAAAAAAGACAAAAGCAAAACCTTAGACATTTCTCCAAAGGAAAAGTACAAATAGCCAATACACTTATGCCAAAGTGCTCACTCATTGGTCCTTAGGGAAGTGGAAACCAAATTAACAATGAGATACCCCTTCAAATGACAAAGAATCTTGAATTGAAGTGGGAAGGGAGAGAGGGGAAGAGGAGGAAGGGAGGGAGGATTTGGAGCAAATGAAGCCCTTCTGTATGACTGAAGAAAATGTAAAATAGTGGAAGACAGTGCAGTAGTTCCCCAAAGTTAAATAAAGAACTCCACAGGACCCAGCAATTCTACTCTTAGGAATATACTCAAAAGAACTGAAAGCAGAGACGCAGACAGACAGACATATGCCAATGCTTACCAAATTATTTATAATAGCCAAAAGAAGGAAGAAACTGAAGGGTCATGAAAGGATAAATGGATAAATAGACTGCTGTACATCTATACAATGGAATAGTACTTGGCCTTAAAAAATGAAGTTCTGATACACAATGCAACACAGATGAGCACAGAAAACACGCTAAGTGAAATATGCCAGACATAAAAGGTCAAATACATTATTTCACTTCTATGAGCTCTTTAAAATAGGCAAATTCGGGAACTATGTTAGAGGTTACTTTAGGAACAGGGAAAAGCAAATGAGGAGTTTAATAGTCATAAAACTCCTGCTTGTGACTTTGAGAATAGTGTTAACTGTTCTATGGCACTGTGAATATTCCCAGCACTACTAGTTGTATACTGAAAGTTAAAATGACAGATTCGATATGACTGTACACAATGTGTCAAAGCCCACCCTAAGAGCTTTACCTAGTTAGCAGTGTCTCAGCTGTACACAAGTCCCAGTCACAGACTAATACACCCAGAGAACTAAATAAAAGAACAGAATCGGAACCCCAGCTGACTAGCTTCAGGGTTCTTCTCTACTTACTCTTCTCTGAGCTCTGCCTTGATTACAACAATGTCTACCTACCTCCAGTCTCTCCACTCCCAGTTTAGGCTCCACCACGCCACCACAGGCATTTCTAAAATAAATGTCTGGTGTGTCATCCTCCTGCTGAAATCTCTAGGTGCTTCCAAAAGACCACAGGCCTAACTTTTTCATTCAAAAACTTTTCAAATCACAGCAAGCTGTCAGTCCCATGACTGTTTGTAGCTAGAAATACTTGGGATGCATGCTGTCCCCATGGCATCAATTACCATGCAAACACAAGTTGGCCAATACTATGCCTGCATTGAATTCTGACATCACAGGTACCTATCAGGATGCTCTAAAACACATGATGAAAAGGTCCCAACGACACAACTTGACACTTGCAAAATACTTTCACATGTATGTTTCCACTTGCTCCTCCTGAGACACAGCCAGGATGCAAGAGTAAACCAAGGCACAAAGGTATAAAGAAGCAGTACTACCCTGACAGATCTGGCCTCCCCCAAAGAGCTAGACTTAGGGAGTATACTTGAAGCACTCTGCCTGAGGCTCCAGAGGTGACCAATAAATGCTTCTCAGCATACTTAAAGGATTCTGCACTTCTACCCATAAACCCAAGGTGATCCAGGTTCAAATCTACTGAGTCCTTTATCATGATTATGAAAGAACTCCTTCCTGCAGAGGAGGGTGCACCTGACAGAAAAGCAATTCCTGCCAATCAGTTGAAGCAGCCCCACACTTGGAGCTCTCTGAGGTTCTGAGTCAAGTTTGCAGGA